GCCACCCGCTTCACGTGCCGTCTGCGATAGGTGTGTAGGCAACACTCAGTGGTTCGCACACGGCGCCTCCCAGCGCCTGCAGCATAGGCAACCGTCCGCCTGTGAACGCACGATAGGCCACCCGCTACACTCCTGCAAGTGGTGCGTACGCTACCCCGGGGCTGGGGGGTGGGTAAAAAATCTGGCAGACACATTGAAGCAGGCCCATAGAATTACTTTGTTCTGATTTACCGCATATGTTAGTTACCCGAGATGAAGGTTCCCCAGTCCCACCTCCAGTCCATAGAATTACTTTGTTCTGATTTACCGCATATGTTAGTTACCCGAGATGAAGGTTCCGTGGAAAATGTACCCCCATTACTTACCCTCTTAGACTAACATCATGTTTTAATCCGCAGGCCATCAGCACGGGAGCCAGGCTGAGCATAGACGAGTGCCAGCACCAGTTCAGAAACAGCCGCTGGAACTGCAGCACGTTTAACAACTCGGGGAACGTGTTCGGAGGCGTCCTCTCAGTTCGTAAGTTGTTGTTGTTGTTTTTTTGTTTTTTGTTTAACACTTTTCATTTTTAACCGTCCGCCTCGCTCCGCCTCCGCCTCGCAGACAGCCGTGAGACGGCCTTCATCTACGCCATCTCCGCGGCGGGCGTGGCCTACGCCGTGACGCGGGCGTGCTCGAGGGGCGAGCTCAACGAGTGCTCGTGCGACAGCCGCGTGAGGGTGCGCAAGACCAAGAAGAAGTGGCAGTGGGGAGGCTGCTCTGAGGTGAGGGCCCGGCCCGGCGCACCCACTGCTGGGAAACGCTTTAATGAGTTCACAGGAAAAACATGGACCCATGTTTCCCCGCGTGAAGTACTCTGTGGAAATAAAGGTAGCATTTGGCACCTTCAGGGCATTCCGTGTAGTGCTTTCTGGCCTCTGTGGAGGGGCATCGTAAATATTTAGCGCGCCTTTACGGACGCCAAGTTCTGCCTCTTTGTCTGAAGTGCAAAAGGCAGCCGAGTGTGTGTGAAATTATCCATTCCATAACGTTTGTCAGAATTTAGTGGGAATACTTTTTTTAAAGTGGATGTGTTTTGGTGATCCGCGCCCCTTCTTTGCCGCAGGATATTCGCTTTGGTGAGAAGTTCAGCAGGGATTTCGTGGACTCGAAGGAAACTGGAGACTCGCCTGGGGGGCTGATGAACCTGCATAACAACGAGGCCGGCAGACGGGTGAGTTGGGCGTTGGGAGGGGGGTGTAGATGCGCTCCTATTGGTGGAGCCACGTCCCTCGTCACCCAATGGCCGCGCCGCCCCACCAGGCAGGCAGCCCGCGGCCCCCCGGCGTGCGTTGGGTTGCCTGCCCGGGATGCGTCGGGCGGACGCCTGCCTATGGGGAAGTCCTGCTGAGCGCGGGGCGGTGCGCGTCGGGTCAGTGTCGGTCAACGTACTCAAACCACGCTTTTCTGCTATGCGAGGCGAGGCTATGGTGTCCGGGACCATAGCCGCCGCCGATTAGTGACCACACCACATCACTCCCGCACAGTCCCGCGCGCCTGCCTAACCCTCTCCTTTTTGCAGTCGATCCGGTCGCGCATGGAGCGCGTGTGCAAGTGCCACGGCATGTCCGGCTCGTGCTCGGTGCGCGTGTGCTGGCGCAAGCTGCCGCCCTTCCGCGTGCTGGGCGAGGCGCTGGCGCAGGCCTACGAGGGCGCCACGCAGGTGCGGCTGTCGGACAAGCGCCGGCGCCACACCAAGAGCAAGCGGCTGCGCGCCGTGTCCCGGGAGATCAAGCCGCCCAACCGGACCGACCTCGTGTACCTGGAGGAGAGCCCGGACTACTGCGAGCGCAACGACACGATGGGCATCCCGGGCACCAAGGGCCGCGTCTGCAACCGCACCTCGCCCGGCCTGGACGGCTGCCGCCTGCTGTGCTGCGGCCGCGGCCACAACACCCGCATGAAGGAGGTGGAGGAGAAGTGCCAGTGCAAGTTCGTGTGGTGCTGCAAGGTGCAGTGCCAGACGTGCCGCGTGCGCGGCGAGGAACACACGTGCAAGTGAACGAGACGCAAGGGTCACGGGCTCCGGTCACGGTCACGGCTGTGACGCGCTGTGGCGGGGCCGTGGCTGGGCAACACGGTCCCGTCTAGAAAATGGGGTCGAATTCGGGTTTGCTAGAATGACAACCTCTATAATCGACGAGAATTTGGAAAAGCCAACACCACCGACGACACGCCTTTGACTGTGACAAAGTAGTGTCGTAGTCCAAAGGTCTGGACAGTGTCAAACAAAAAATCTTTAAAAAATAATTATCATATATGATGTGGAATGGGCGTCGTTGGAGTCGAAACTTGCCTGGTCTTGCGAAGAATGTCAATTCGCACTCTCTACAGTTTTGTACAGATCCGTTTTTGATAAGCTAGTTTAAGCACATGTCCAAGTTAAAAGAAGGGGAAGAAAACTAATTGAATCACTGCCAAACCTAAAAAGTTGTGAGAGTGTACAACCTGTTGTGCTAAATATACATAAAAAGTAAAACTTCTTCAACAAATGTTCGCATAAAACATTGCACCATGTGTACCTTGTGTGTAGTTGCCAATCACATCTTTTGACTTCAAACATAGATTGCCCAGAATTTTAGAATTATTTAGGAATAAAAGCAACATGAAAACGTTACACTGTAGTATGTAGTTGCTATATAATTTCTTTGTTA